AGCTATTCAGAGATATTAATACTGAGAATTATTGATTTCCAGACTACTCTGAATGCTTCATTGAGAGCATCAGATCCCTTTTTGAATATCCACAGAGTGAAGAAAGAAAGATTACTGATAAGTGATAGATGATTTTGAAAAACTTCCTTAGTTGTGAGATGATATCAAGGCCAAAGTGAAACTGCAATTGGAAACTCTAAATATGTATTCTGTGGCTGATTCAGAAGCAGATTGGAGAAGAAAATACCCATAATGATCTTGTTCACAGTCTCTTGATCTGGATGGTTTCCAGACTCCATGCATTCCATACTTATTCATAATTTTCACATTTAGGAAATGATAGCTTTTGAGGTCTAAGTTATAACTATCTCAATATTCAAATTACAGGAAATAAGTTGCCTGCAGATAGACAGCAAGTATAGCTTAGCTGAGCATGTGACTAAAATAAACTTTTCCAAGGAAATACAAAGAATAAAAGTGTTGATGTATAAAATTTTCCGACTTAAAAATGGGACAGTCCTGTGCCTAATTTTAATACCAGATAATCTGAGGTAGTTATGCAATCAAAAGAAAATTAGTCCAGCTACAAAGATAGTAAGGAGGCTATGCCCTAAGTTTTAAAGCATCTTTGATTTATTTCCAAAGACAATTAAGTTTGATCCTTCAAAATCTGTAAAACAAAACTTCTCTGGCTCCTCCTGTAGATTTGCTAAGGTTTGGTTAAGAATAGTGATAGCCAATTTATTGGGTTTCTTTTAGAAGCAAGTCTCATCAATATATTAAACAAGATAGCTTCTTCAAAACTTGAGTCCCAGATTGATTTCGTGTGATTGGTCTTCTTCAATAATTAAGTAATTAAATTGGGTTAGTAAAAGTTCATTCCTCTGCATTGTATTTGCACATTACTATCCGACCCCGGATCTGATTGGTGGAGGCTGGCAAAGAAGTAGCAAGCTAGAAATAGAAGAAAAGCATTATTAGATTAATTGGAAGTATGTCTAGTAGTCCAACATCCATGCCAATTTGTTCCTTGTTGAACAACTGTTAGAGCTAGGAAATGTATTTTGAATGTTCAGCCCAAATCTCTCTCCTTGTAATGTAAACACATTGTTTCTTTTCCTGTCTTCCGGAACAACTGAGCAATTCAGCCCCATCTTCTCCATGATAGCCTTTCAAATGCCTGAAGATCATTCTACAGATCATCCTACAGTCTTCTCTTTCACAGATCAAATGTAGTTCCCAGTGGCTACAACCTTCAAAAAAAATATTCTTCTAGATGTCTTACATTTCTTAAACATGCACCAGTTTGTTAATATGCTTCCTAAAATGTAGTACACAGAGTCAAATACACTATTCCATAAAATAATACCAGTGCAGAAGAGAAAGGAAGATTTGGCCATGTTATTTGTGCACTGCACGCTGGACATCTGTTAACACAGTCTGGGATTTTATGTGCAAGGACTGTCATACCACCAATATGCACAAATACAGTGAGCCATTGGTAATTTTATTTTGATCTCCTTATTAATTACAGTCAGTCCTCGACTTACAGCTGTAAGATTGCTTCATTTATGCTGTGGTTTTTCTCTGTTTTAAAAAATGGAACAGCTGTCAGGACTGCATACTTTTAACCACAGAATTATCGACATAGATGCCTAGGGATTTATTTTTTTTTAGCTTTGCTTTACCACTACAACTGTGACTGCAGTAGTGGGAAGATTACAAGATGGAAAATACTTTTTTTTTAATTCAAAGGAACCAAAATCTCTTCATATAGGAAGAGATATCAGTATATTAAATGAAAACATTCATGGTCATTATTGTAGGCCTGTGCTGATCATTTCAGGTTTTTTGGATCTGTGCCAGGATAATCTATAAATCATGTTCAAGCTGATTTTCCTTGCCTGCTATCCTGGTGGAAGTAGCTTCTTGTAGGGAATAGAGGGAATGACCTAGAGTAGGGTTGTCCAAATTTGGCAACTTTAGGACTTGTGGACTTCAACTCCCAGAATTCGCAGCAGCCATGCTGGCTTGTTGCACTCTAGCTATTAAAGAACTAAAATTGTCCAGAATTGACTTTGATCATCTGTCTTTCTTGATTTTGTTTTGAAAGTCACTCCTTCTCATTTGTAGGCAGCTATAAAAATTAGATCACCGAGCTGTTGTGACACAACGGTGCCCACAACCAGGAGTTCGATTCTGACCAACTCAAGGCTGACTCAGCCTTCCATCCTTCTTAGCTCAGAAAAATGAGAACCCAGATTGTTAGGGGGAATATGCTGACATTAGTAAACAGCTCAGAGAGTGTTGTAAAGCACTACAGAGCAGTATATAAGTCTAGGTGCTATTGCTATTGCTAAATCATGGCTGATTAAACATATTCCCTGTTAATCACAAGCCAATAGTGCCAGAGAAAGCACCTCTGATGAGACAACATTAGAAGAAGAAGAAAAAAATAACAAGAACTTATACATGGATGGCTAGGGAAATTCTGGGAGTTGATATCCACACATCTTGAAGCAGATGAGTTTGAGAAATACTGTTGCAGTCCAAACTTCAATAGTGATTATCCATAATTTGATCATCATTGTGATAGATTTTGGATCCTTGAGGACTACATGTTCAGAAACAGCAAGTATATTAATACTTCCTGAAAAAATTACTCTTTTACATAATCTGTGAGAGAAGGGAAAAGATACATTTATTTATGTTTTGTATTTGCTTTAAAATGTTATGCCTGTTTCTCTGAGCACATTCTCGATACGCCCTCACTCTGCTTGTACAATTTATCATTCTGAGCAGAAGGGACATTTATCAATAAGTATAAAATGTGGGTTTATATTTTATAATAGATTTGAAATCAGTAGTGAATGTTAAGTTATGATGCATACTTTCTGAATAATAACATAAAACTTAAAATACGATTTTCAGAAGCTCCTGATATATTTATGAAATGCTGTAAATGAAAGGCAAGAGTTATAATAGGATTAGTTCAATTTGCTTTTTAAATCTACTCCATTTGGAAGTTTTACACATTCCCAGGAGGAAAAAAAAGCACCTCTTTTTTTCTTACTGTGAATGACAAGTAATTGATGATAGGATCATACCTAGACATACCTAGAAAAGCTATGTTTTTTCTTCAGCAATGAAAAGACAGGGAGATGCACACCAGCTTTTGGTATTCCACATCTTGTGATAGATTTAATTTCCATAAATGAGCCATGCCATCCATATAAACTTTTAAAGTCTTTGGTGATGGTTATAGTTATTCAGGTGACAAAACAGTTGCCTATAAAGCCATAACTGTTAAGATGGAGGCACCATAATAATTGAAGTCAGAACTTTGCGAGTGATCCCAAGCTTATATAAGTAAGCACAGACTTATCTGTTTATTCCAACTCCCTGACATTATTCATAGCTGCTCTGTATCTTTGTTTATGCATGGGAATAAACAGGCTGTCAGGAGTTGGACATGAGCTAACAGTTATCTACAAGAGGAAGCATTCCCTGGTGCACTGTTTGGCTTAGAGCAGCATATAAATTGCAGTAAACAAATACATAATCATATATCAAACTGACTGCTACTTGGAGGGATAAACAGATTCAGGTGTCTTTTACTTACCTTTCTCATTTCTTCTTTCTGGAAGAATTTTTTTTTCCTTTCTTCTCTTCCCTTGGACCTTTTTTTGTACACATCCTCTTTTTTTACCCTTTTGGCCTAGCTATATTCTGTTACAAATAGACCTTCACTTATGACCACAGTTGGGACCAGAATTTTAATTGCTAAGCTATACAGTCATTAAGAGGGTCATCTTGTGCCTAGCCTGATTTTACAATCATTTTTATTGTGCTCATTACATGAATCACTGTGATCATTAAGTGAATCACACAGTCCTTAAGCAAATTCAGTTTCCCCAATTTTCATTGTTTGTCACAAACCAGCTGGGAAGGTTATCAAAGGGTGATCACATGACCTGGGGGTCAGGGAACTGTCATAAATACATGCCAGTTGACAAGTACTCAAATGTTGACCATGGGAATGCCACAATGGTCATAAGTGTGAAACATGTTCATAAGTCACTTTTTTCAGCACTAGTGTAACTTCAAATGGTGAATAAATGAATGATTATAAGTGGAGGACTATTTGTACACTCCAGCCAATCAACTTAGACAAAGCTATTCCTGCTTACTGAAGAGATATCCATAGCATAGAAGCTTATGGAAGCTGTATCTCTTCAAAGTGTAGGTGATTTAATAGCAATAGCAATGGTATTTAGACTTATATTCTGCTTCACAGTGTTTTACAGCCCTCTCTAAGAAGTTTACAGAGTCAGCATTTTGCCTCTCCAACAATCTGGGCCTTCATTTTATCGCCCTTGGAAGGATGGGAAGCTCAGTCAACCATGAGCCGGTCACAATCGAACTCTTAGCAGTCAGCAGCCTGCAATAGTGCATTTCTAGCATTGCAGCATCACCAGAATGATTACGGCCAGTGGTGGGATTCAAATATGTGAACAACCGGTTCTTTGTGTGGATGCTGCTTCCAGAAGTCCGTTCTGGGCCTGGGCAATAAAAAATTAGCGACTGGTTCTGCCGAACTGGTGCGAACCGGCTGAATCCCATCATTGGTTACGGCTATTAAAATAATTTACATTATTATTGCTCCTTAGATTTACCGTATTTTTCGCTCTATA